CAGTGAGGACCTTGAGGTCCCACACAAGCCGATATGCAGGATTAACGAGCAGGACAAAAACCATCCCAAGAATTTATTTTTCTTGCCACAGAACTGAATGAGAACCATTAACTACAGAAGACCTGAAAAAGAGTCGTATGGAGGACTGCTAAAAAACGGGGAGATGACTGAGGGCAGACTTCTAACACACAGCTCCCGGGGGCCCACCCCCTTCCCCTATAGCAGACAGAAGGGTCTAGGACTAGAAAAGGACTACATTGCGTAATGTTCAGAGTCTGGTATTACACCCATACAGACTTGGTGGCCATGTTACTAGGCCACCAAGAACCAAACTGACCACAGTGAAGTCCTCCAGAGACAGAGCCTAGGGGAGGAGGCCATGTTCATTGGAGGTAGGGAGCACTACAAAAATGATGGAAATGTAGGCAGGAGGAAACCATTCAACTGAGCAGCAAACAGTGGTGACACAAGGGTCCCCAATCCCTGCACAGAGGCTATGGAAGCATGATCCTCCGTGCAGACTAGCTGAAGTCCCAGGAAGCAGGGAGTAGCAATGCCATTTGAAAGCAAACAACTAAAGCTGAAAACTCCCTGAAGAAAAACCGATGTGGTCCCAGGAAAAAAAAAAAAAAAAAGGTAACAGCAACCAGGAAAGATGATGGCCAAAAATAAACCACAATGCCCTAGATACCCAAATGCCCAGGGACTCCAGTGAGCAGGTCAGGTTAGCAACCAACAGGAGGGAAAAGGCTGCCCATACCGCAAGACACATTCCAGCTGTAAGGGGACTGAGATGCTTGCTGCCTAAAAAGACCAAACCACTACAGACATCCACATGCATTGAGACTAATTCAATTTGGAATTTTTGTGAGCGTTTAAGATTTTGTGTGCACTAATATTTTGTTTCAGTTTATATTATATGAAATACGTTAAAGCGCTGGTTAAAAATGATCACAATAAAATCTCAAAACAAATACCTAAACAGCTGCGCATGCCATAGGTTAATTTATTTTTGTTTTAAATTGTTATTTCCACTGGTTTGTTTTGAACATATTGGGATAGTGCAGTGGTTTTTCTTAGGTACAATGCACAAATATGGTAACGTACATGGGAAGTTCCGATATCAGTGTAGGCAGGGGATGGATCGTAGGCATCCTCACCATAAGACTGCAGGAAGGACTACAAATCTTGGGGTTAGCTGCCTAAGACCAAGCACAACACACCTATCAACAAGTACCCATGGGGTGCAGCCCTACGGGAAAAACTTGCTGAAATAAGACTGCCTACAATGCAGCCTCAAAGAGGCACAGGGCTAGAGATGCTCCTGACTCCCTACATCCAACGATATATCAGAGCTCATCAAGCAACTGTCAGTAGATTTATCAGAATGGTTAAGAACCTTTGTCTAGAAAATCCCAGAGGAAGGATAATCAACAGAAAGATCTGTCGCTCAAGTGTTTAGAACCCACGGAATCACTGAAGCAATCCCTGCTACTGCCAGAGGAATCATGCATCAGAAGCATGCAGATGGCCCTCTGCAACCTGCAAAACAGGATCAGAAAAGTGCCTCCTCCATGTCCAGAAGCAACTAGTTGGGAAAAACTGGTCCACCAAAGAACGCACTTATAGTGGGCAGAGTGGACAGGGCTAGAAAACAAATCAGGATTTAAACTACCTTTGTTGCCACAGCAAGACCTCTTGTTCTTCCTAGATGAAAGTACACCACCACCCAGAAAATGTCCAAAAGTATCTGTTTTAGGCGTCTCATCTAGGGAATGATCGTGGAATGTAGGAGGAGCCACCTGTTTTGAGACTTCAGAATGTAGAGCAGGAGACAAAGGCTCTCCAATGACAGTATCTTCCAGATTGTGGAAGAAAAATCTTCTCCAAACCCAAAAGACAGATCCACCAGGTCCAGAACTACCTATTCCGATGGAGCAGACAGTTCAGTCTGCTTAGGAACTTTATTCACAACAGCAGGAAAGGTTGAAAGCAGTGTGAGAAGAGACAGGAGTAAGAGGCGTACCTTGGAGAGCAAGATCCCTCGACCCACAGTTCTCTTGGAACAGCTGAGGGACTAAACTCCCTGATCAATGGAAAAGCACAAGAGCATAATGAAGCTGTAGATTCCTCTACAACAAAACTATACTGGCATGAGCTGCCTGCCTAAAATAAAAAGATTTGGTGGCGTTTGGATCATGATCAGGAGGTCATATGAGCATCCCACAAAATGGGTATAATGAGAAGGCACTAGGGCAAACACTGGGGCCAGCACCCTGGAGAAAACTCAAGATGCAGGGGATTGTTAAAAGGACAATTAAACCCTTGCGGTTTCTTTTTGCATACATCTACTGCTAGCAAGCATGCTGGCCACACAACTGATAATTGTAGGGCTTGTTGCGATGGCAACATCATGATAAGGATAAGTTGTGGGTGAAGTTAGAAAAATATATGGCTGGAAGAAATATAGCTTATGTTCATTGGCTAAAGTTGGCCAGTGGAGGCTTGGCAGGGTCAGCATCACCTTTGAAAGTATGGGATATAGTAAATAAAGATGGGGAATTAGTTCCTAATATATCCCCTTCAGCACCGATTGGCAGCTATCCATGGTTCTCACCTGGTGAACAATTATCATATTTTGGAAGGTGGGGCAGGGATGGAGATGTTCGGATAAGTCATTTTATGGTAGGAAATTCCCCTATGTCCTTAGGTGAATTAAGGGGAAAATGGGGCATATTCCCTTTAGATGCTTGGCGTCACATACAACTGAGTAACGTTTTTCGAAAAAATGCTTGTCTAATTAGGCCTTAAAGGTAATTGACCTTCTTTGATAGATTGTGGGACGCTGAGTCTTAGCAGGTCACTCTCTTTCCCTAAAGTATAACATGTTACTGCAAGTCAGTCGGAAAGGCTCTTTGTACTTCATAAGGGAATGGGAGAGAGATATGGGGAAGACCTTTACGGATGAACAAAAGGATCAAATGCTGTCGAGGGTTTATATGGCGTCTATAGACTCCAGAGCTCAAGAAACGAATTATAAAAAGGTGCTTACCCGGTGGTACCGGGTTCCGTATTCACTAGGGAAAATATATCAAAATGTTTCTCCCCTATGTTGGAGGAACTGTGGTTTACTGGGTACATATCTACATGTGTGGTGGGAATGTCCGAAGCTTAAGTCTTTACAAATGCAACTTATCCTTGGGGAGATTCTTCTGTTCACTTCTACTTTTTTGACGTATTTGTTGCCTATTTCAAAGGCTAGATATAAAGCTACATCTTTGCCTCATTTATTAAATGCAGCAAAAAAGTTGATCGAGATTTCGGAAGAGTCCAACGGTTCCTACCAGAATAGACTGGGTCCGGCAGGTCAATCTCACTATGGAATCTGAAAAGTGGATAGCAACTTGCAAAGAGAAATATGATAAATTTTGTAGTGTATGGGATACGTGGATCAAATATAGCTCTACGTTTTTTTAAAGTGAAAGGGAATGTTTATGGTCTGGAAATCTAGAACTGTAATTGGAATGGAGGAGACTCCCCTATCTCCATTCCGTTGTAGCTGTTTTTTCAATTTTGTATAATAGAACAATAAGGGATGGTTTTAGTATATTTAAAGTGACATTAAAAGAATACATTTTTTCCCCTCCCCCCAATGTTAATGTTAGCACTTACCTTAAATGATGTCTCTTAATCCGATCTTGTTCTTTCCTGATTTTTTCATCTGTCCCTCCAGCGGTGTGGCGGCTCTCCGATCCAGCACTGACTCCTCTCTGCTTGCAGGCACTTCCGATCCAGCGGTGTCTGCATGCGGGTGCACGCGTCCATAGACTTACCTTGCGTCTCTGCTCCTCTCCCGACTGAGAATCCGAACTGCGCATGCGCCCGCCCGAACAGTTTCGTTTTTTCTAGGGCGGGAGCGCGCAAAGAAAACAAGGTAAGTTTAAACCGCTATTATAGCGGGGGTTTTTTTAAACTGTTTGCCTATTATTAGCAGTAGATATAGGCAAAAAAACGGGAGGGTTCAGAACCCCTTTAATTAGTTCATCATTCAGTCTTCCGTATACCTTTTAAGTAGTATTTGTATATCACTCCTGAGAATTTGTTTATGTTTTTGTCTGTTTTGTTTGGATATGTATGAATATGTTTTGATGGTATAATAACATGTTTAAATAAAGATTATATTAAAAAAAATTGTAGGGCAATGGGTTTGGTGTTGGCGGCCTGCAGCAGGTCCTACTGTGGCTGGCAATATCTCCAATAATTGGAAGCCAAGCTCTGCAAATTATTACACTGAGCAAATAAAATTTATCCTAAAGCAAGATACCACATGTTTTATTTTTAAATTAGGGCTTACAAAGAAACCAAAGAGATCAGTGGATGGACACCTAGAGCTTGCCAAACACCAACAATATAATAAAAATGTGGTTACTGAAGAAAATTCATATTAAAAGAATCAGAACGTCACTCTAATAACCTAAATTAGAAAGGCACTTAATCTAAAAAGTTGGGTACTTTGAATTTCTGTATGTGTGCAAAGAAAGGATGAACAAATTGACGCCACAAACGTATACTTCTAATATGGATAAACATCAAAGCATGTTTGAGAAATACTGCAATAGATCAAATCTGTATATTACAATTTTAATTAGGACTTCAACAGAACAAACATCAAAAAGCTGCGTACACACATTAATAGGCTAGCTGACATGCACTTGTTACGGTTTTCTCTGGACGTGAGCATAGGCTGGGAGCATCGACATTGAGGGATAGCTGACAGATGTACAGGATATCAGCTTGTCAAAGGTGGGGGAGAAGCTTGCCTTCAATTAAGTACCAGATAGATGCACTGGTCTATCAATGTACTTGCATAGAAATAGAACATAGTAGCATGCAGTGTCAGATATTGGAAGAAAGCAGATGGCATTATGATGCATGTTACAACTGCTGTAATGAAGCAGACATTTCTTTTGTTTAAAAAAAAAAAAAGATTTTAGACTTACCCAAATGATTTTGTTAACTTCTTAGTTCCCACGGGTTTGTCGCTGTGCTGTAACTCATAGAATACTCGCTGCAGTGCTAGAGGAACACTCTTTGATGAGTCATCCCCTTCTGTGGGCATCATATACACAGCCTTGGGAGGTGGAAAAAAATAAAAATAAAACCACACTATTACATAAAGTCCAGGTATTTTATGTATTTCTTCTATTTTATGATCCTACACTATGCAGTCTTATTCTAACGTGACAATCACCATGTGATAGAAGACAGACCCATAAAACACGGACAGAGAAAAAAAGTTTTCACGTTAGGTGAAAGATAGAGTGGTTTTGTTTATTTTTCCCTGTTAGTGTCAGGATTTAACAAAACGAAAACCCTATTTTAGTCAGTAAAATATGAAATACTGCATACTGTGTCAATATTATGTAGTCTTCCATGTGGCCTGCATGAGTAGCTGGCTGCAAATGTGGTCTCTAAAAGAAGTGATCAATCCCTTAAATCGACAGCTCTTTCCAAGATTTAATTTAGACAAAGTCCATATTGATTTGGGTATATATCATAATGTTTCTCTCTCTCTATTTAATAATTATTATTATTAAAGCCCGATCATTAGTTTAGAGATGGCCATAAATATTGGGCCGAAAATTGCCATCACACGCGGCGATACCAGACATGTGTAGCGCAATCGTCGTTTTTCTACATAGGTGCACTTGACTTGTGTTTGTTAGTTGTGCACGTTGGGGGACTTTAAATTTTGGGGGGATATTTTTAATTGTATTTATTTTTTTAACGTCATTGCCAATCACATGCCCCCTATGTGATAGCACATTGGACATGACAGGTTCTCTTTAAGGTGACAGTAGTCTTTTATACCCCCAGTGTCAACTTTCCACTTCAGGAATGATAGCTGCATGCTGAGGCAGCTGAACGTCAACACAGCAGGCAGTGGATAGATAGAATAGTGGAGAATAGTGGATAGAATAGTGGAGACAGTACAGTTACAATACAGTTACAATGCAATATAGTTTCAGAACAATAGGGTTGGGAGGGCCCTGCTCGTGAGAGCTTACAATCTAGTAGGTGGGGCAAGTGATACAAAAGGTGATTGAGTTATTTGAGGAAGTAAAAGGCAGTTATGTTGAGATAGGCTTCCTGAAGAGACGGGTTTTTAAGGATCGCCTAAAAGGTGCGCAGCGTAGAAGATAGGCGGACAGAATGGGGTAAGGAGTTCCAGAGGATGGGGACACTCTGGAGAAGTCCTGGAGCATGGGAGGAGGTAATCCGAGAGCTATAGAGCAGGAGGTCTTGAGAGAAGCGAAGAGGGCGGTTTGGGTGATATTTTGAGAGGAGGTAGTTGATGTAGGTTGGGGCAGAGTTGTAGATGACATTGTATGTTGTTGTTAGTATTTTTAATTTTATTTGTTGGGCAAATGGGAGCCTGTGGAGGAACTGGCAGAGAGGGGCGGCAGACACTGAACGGTTGATAAGGTGGATGAGTCTGGCAGCAGCATTCATGATAGACTGAAGTGGGGATAGCCTGCTTAGTTGTAGGCCAACAAGGAGGGAGTTACAGTAGTCGAAGCGAGATATTACAAGGGAGTAAATTGGAAGCTTTGTGGTTTTGTTTGTTAAAAAGATTTGGATAGTGATTGGATGTGGGGCTGAAAGGAGAGCTCAGAGTCAAGGATAACACCGAATACCCTGGCTTGATGGGAGGGGTTGATCGTAGTGTTGTTGATTGTGATGGGGAAGTTGGGGGAGGGAACACTGAGGAGGAAAATATTTAAGCTCAGTTTTTGACAGATTGAGTTTGAGGTAGCGGTGTGACATCCATGCTGAGATGTCATTGAGTAGATTTGAGATACGTGAAGAGACAGAGGGAGTGAGTTGAGAGATAGATTTGGGTGTCATCAGCATAAAGATGGTATTGGAAGCCATGGGAGGCTAGAAATTGACCCAGGGAAGAAGTGTAGATAGAGAATAGAAGGGGCCCAAGGACAGACCCTTGGGGGAACCCCACAGAAAGAGGAAGACGAGGAGGTAGAATTGTAGGCGACACTGAAGGTGCGCTGAGATAGGTAGGAAATTAACCATGAGAAAGCAGAGTCTTGGAGGCCAAGGGAATGGAGTTTATTAAGGAGAAGCGGGTGGTCAACTGTGACAAAGGCAGCAGAAAGGTCTAAAAGTATGAGTACAGAGTAGTGGCCATTGGTTTTAGCAGTTAGTAGATCATTAGTAAGTTATAGAAGGGCAGTAAGGGCAATTAAAATTAGCCAATAGCAGGCTTGCTATAGTTTCCAGCCACTGATGGGAGACTTGACACTGGCTTTCTACCTCCATCAGAAGAGGAAACACAGGGGGGATGGGGGGAATTCATCAGCGGACTGTGTCCTCGCTGCGTCTGCCAGGCGGGGAGAGCAGCTGGGATTAAAAAGGGACACAGACTGCTGGAGCCAGCACCAGCGAGGAGGAGAACGGAGGAGCAGAGTGGCAGCGGCTGCGGATTAAACAATTCGAACCAACTAATCGATAATGAGAATCATTGACGACTATCATCGATTATAATTGATTAGTTGTTGCAGCACAAATCTACATGAACGTAGGATTCTTATGCAATATGTATTTGGCTTTAAGATACCAATTGTACACCCTTATTGCTACCTCCCTTTTTTATTGCTGTGGGATCCCTTTGACTTGTTGTAATCTATGCAAGTCTGCTCTGTTACCAGGCTGATGAAAGGAAAAGCTTCCGTGGAAGACGTCCTAGTAATGAAAATCTGATGTGTCTTGGTGTAGACAGGGACTGTTGACATATACCAGCCGCAAGTAGGGCTGGGACTTAGACAAGTGCTTGCTAAATACGGTTACCACTGCTGCTCACTCAGCTCATCCCAGACACTGATGGCCACATGCACCAACACAAAGAGCCAGTCTGGACTACCTACAAGTGAGCCACAAAAGGTTTTCATTTGTGAGTATGCTATTTTTAGTCCCAAAATAATAGGTTTCTACAATATGCCAGTGTGCTCTGCTGTCTTTTCTTCTAAAGCCATGGATAAGCATCTGCTACTAGGGATATTAACAACCTGACTCCTGGTTTCCACCACAGGAATTCATGTAAACCATCTGAGAGATGGGGTCAGACTGGACCCTCAACAATATGGCGCTGAAGATGGGCTGACCAATGTAAAAGACGAGCGGAATTTATCTCTAGATTGTGGATAGGTAGACTGTTTCCACGAACCGTGTACCAAGAGGGTACCAAGGACTCCTCCCCAGCCAGAGAGATTTTGAATCTGTGGTGAGGATATTCCTGCACAGAGAAAGAAAGGCACAACCTCAAGAAACTATGGGCAACCAAGGACACCACAGAAGTTCTTAACAGGTTTGACAAGACAGCTAAATCCTACCTATACTGCAGGTGATGTTGACCATTTTTTCTCTTCTCTGGGAAGGTGTAAGATAGCTCAAAGCAGCTAAGGACAGAAAAGACCTAGTAAGAATGTTTCCACTCCTTAGGATGACCACAAGCTCCTGATCATTTGGAAACATCTTACCTGACAAATTGCATTTTTAAATTAGCTTAGGCATACTGCTGTCCGCTACAGCTCACTTCTCAAACTTAAGCATCCCAAGCACTGCTCGGATCAGGCCAACAATCATTTTCTAGAGGCAAGAGGATCTGCGCGGAGTTTACCTTAGCGAAGGTTAGGAACTACAACTCTGTACACAACATGCATAGCAAATGATCCCACGAGGGCTTCAGGGAAGGCTCTTCCTTTAAATTAGAAGTGGGAGTCTCAAGCGAACCAAGAACCGATCTGAACAGGGTAACTTCTGAGACCCAGATATATCTCAAAGTTCTATACAGTGTTCCAAGAAGGGAATCAAGACAGTTTCAAAGGGTTCTAGCAAGCATCAACTAGTAGGGTCACCTGACCAGTCACAAGTCTGCAATTGTAGAGGGTACAGGCATTTGTGGCTAGCAGATGTCAGCTAGATTCATCTTGGCAACGTACCCTTTTTTCCTAATCCTACACACAATACCCCATCAAAAATACAGGAAACTCAGAGGAATATCCATCATAGATTATTCTACTATACTTGCATAGATAACTGATAATTTTAAAATATTTGGCTGTCAAAGCACACCAAAACAATACCTTTCGGAGTTGGTTTGTGAAAAACAATGTCTGCAGTAAACTGTTCATGTAACAGGTTGCTCCCTGGTTCTTTAGTCCAACATACCCTGTGTGCTTCTTTGAATCCCAGCTGTGGGAAAACAATTTGAGGCGATTACTGCAAGGTAATTATACATATTAAAAAAGGGGGAAATTATGATTCTTTAATACTTACGCTACACCATGAGGAGCATCAGCCTGCACATAGACTTCAAAAGTGACTTTATCATCTTCTATAAACCCTTTATCTGGATCAGTAACTTCCTGGAATTAGGAAAAAAAAATTGGTAAGTAAAATTTAAGTTCTATCAAAAGGAGAACTATGAGGTGAGTGCTTTTCACTCACCTCATAGTTCTAGCCGACCTGTGACAATGAGACTGTCACAGGTTGGCTCAGTAGATCGGGAGGTGAGCGAACACATACCGGCGTTCGCTCACCTCTCAATCCTGTCACGGCTCTCTGCCGTGACAGGGGAGGGACAGGATTCCCCCCGTCCCCGCTCCTCCAGCGCTGACTGGTGGAACGGACGGGGGAAGGGGCGGGTGCAGCTGCCTCTGCCTCTAGATAGGCAGAGCCAGCTGTCAGTCACACAGCTGGGCGGATCTCTGCATAATTGTCGGGATCCGCTTCAGCTCCGGTATACTACGTCGTCTCAGTATACTAGCGTCCGTTCGCGGTATACTGAGCCTGGGGTGACGGGAGGACGCTAGTTTGTGTCCTCCCGTTACCCTAAGGAGAACTATGGGGAAAAGCCTTAACCCTAGTTCTCCTTTAAGGCACTGGCAAAAAATACAAAATCCCCAAAAAAGCCACAAACACCTAAAAAGGCTTACATTTAAAAAAAAAAAAACTGGTATGTGCAGGCAGCTCTAGGTGCGTGCTCTACACACTTGCCAACAGCTTGTATTTTTTTTTAAAGTCTCTTGGCTTGTGTAATACTGGCGCCATTAACTTCAATTGCAACGTTTAGAGAAGTGTACCAAACATGTCTATGGAGTTCACCAAATTCTGTGGACAAAGTATGTGAGGAAAACAACTGGTTCTTAGCTCTACTACTGTCTATAGGGTAAAGTACACAATTTATCCTCAGTTTAACAGCTTGGTCCTCCCTTATTTTTGCCACATTTAAAGTGATACTAAACTCAGCAGTTGAATCTTAAAAATATACATTCAACTATTTAACTATTAACAATTAACAAAAATGTAACTTATTTATTTGTGTATCACTCGGCTGTAGATCCTCACATTTTCTCTGAATTGGTGCCGACACCATCCCTCCTGTCCTGAAGGTGGTTATTTTGTTTCCCATGGTCCCTGTGGGTGCTGTAAAGTAGCTCACTCCCGTGATAGACTACAATCTCACGTTTAGTCTACCAATTTGTATTGAAACTGTTGTCCATCAAGGGAGCGAGCTTGGAGCGGTGGCTACTTTACTACACACACAGGGACCATGGGGAACAAAAGTAGCCACACTCCAGAAGGACAGCGTTGGCACAAATTCAGGGGTGATTTGAGAATCTGCAGTTTAGTGATGCACCAATAAAGGTACATGCTTAAGGTCAGGCTACAACTTTGCAGGAAAAAAGTCAGGATTTTCATGTTTATACATCTGGATATACTGTTTTTATATGTAATTTTCCTCAAGTTAAAATGAAAATCCATCTTCTTACTTGGTAAATTAGCAGTCTTAACAGTACTATTAAGAAACTCTATAGCCACCAATATGCTGAAAAACTTGACTATTTGGGGAAAACCTTGGAAGACTACCTTTTTAAATGCATTTCCAGAGCTGCACTGCACTGCACATTAATTGCATTGTGCTGAAGAAAGCCAAGCAGTTCCCTTAAAAGTGGCAGGTTCAAAGCTGGTTGGTGGCACTCTACCTATACAGAACTTATGCTTAGCTGTTGACAGCCAGCAGGTTGCAAAATGTGAATAAGTTTTGAACTTTTAAATAACCATATGCAATAACAAAAACAAAGATCTCATACTAGTTTTACATGCGTTTAAATAAATCATTCAATAAAATATAAAATGCTTACACTCCACGCCATGAAATTGGAAAAGCCCCAGTCATTTTCCTTATGAAAGAACAAGTGACTAATGCGTCTACTAAATGACTTTTCATCATCCTTGTAATTGATTATCTTTAGCACTGCCTGGGCATGACAAGACCATGACCTGCAAAATTGGATATAAAACATTTGAATGAAAACAAATCAGGGATGTAGCAAATTTAAGTGAACTGTCACAATATCTTATAGAAGCAAAAAATGACAAAGCAGACTTTATGCAACACTAAAAAGTCCACAGTGAAGATACAGTGAAAAGCTGGCCACAGACTGTTGGAACCTAAAAAAAAATTGACATCTATGATAGAGCTTTGATGGAAAGGTTCCTTGATATCGTGAACTGCCCGTGGCTGTTTGATATGCAAATGAAGGCCATCAAAGTGTTCCTGGGGCTGGACACTGATCAAAGGAGATCTGCTGGACTGTCATGTCCTGGGGCAAGCGAGACCCCCTGCTGGTATTTACTGTCCTCACCTGTGTCAGCAAGGCATATATGCTGGGATGGGGGCAGGGGCATATGATGGGACCTTCTCCATGTGTGACACTAACCTAGCTCACCAGCAAGACCTTTGGACAAGACAAGTCTTTCTGAACTCTGCAATCAAGAATGTGATTCGCTGAGACCTGCTAGAGAGGCGTGTTCTTAGAACAGAGAAAACCCCATGGAGTGTGTGAATGAGAGAGAGAGAATGGTGTAGCTAGCTGTAGGATCCTTAACCTCAATTCCTATCCCCAATTCCCCTTTCAAATTCCCTTAATTGTAATTAGAAACGCACAGGGCGCCTAAAGGCCTAAGGCCGGCCCTGACAGCAGCCACCTAATTTTGCCAGGTTGGGATTTCAGCAAGTGAGCGGCGCGGCCAGTCTGAGCAGTCATTACATATTCCCCTTACTGTGCAGCTCCGTCTCCGCCCTGTCTCCGCCTCCACCGCCGCCTCCTCTCTTTCTGCAGCCATGGCGGCTTACAATGCCGCTCTGGTGCCCGCCTTCACCTCCACCCCGCCTCCCCAGTCCTTCCAGCCAGCGATGCAGGCTTTTTTGCATGCCACTGAATGTTCATAGTGGCAGAGATTGCTGGCAGTTTTTTGGGCAGGTTTTT